CTATCAACAACTTCATGATCAACAACACCACTGCAATCATCATCACCGTCATCATCACCATCATCTTCACCATCACAAGCGCAATCACCGGCATCATCGTCATCAAAGATTATCAGTGTTATCATCACAATATTTCAGCATCATCTGAAGGGTTGCAGGACTATGGAAGGAAGTGTAAATGCTTGTGCAAAAAGCTCGCTCAGCAAATCATCTCTGTTGATTCGATCATACGAGAAACCAGAACAGAGAACCCCATCCCATATTCCCTTGGCTCTAGCATGGCTCAGATTGAGCAAGGCGTGTCGGCGACCCTTGAAGGTTACAAGCACAAGAGGTTTGAGCCAGCATGTGCTGATTTGGCTAACCCACGGGCCCAAGGGCGCCCAACAGCTGCATGTAATGCCGATACATTGAAGCAGTGCGCGGTTTCCGCCGGCGCGGACTTACGATCGGAACGGCGTCCAACAAACCTGCGCTGAATGAACCGTACTGTCACATCTCGTAATAGACTTGACAGTGTACCCTCTGAGGCTGATGTCAAAGCCTCTCCGCATTGCAGCCAAAGCTCGTTGTTCAAGAACCGCTTCGTGGCATTCTGAGGCGAAGACATGCATACAAACCGTCATGGGCATTGGAAGTCATGTCCGTACATGTGCATCTGCGACACTGTCATGCCTCACCAAACCCTAAACCCTAAACCCTAAACCCTAAACCAGGCCTTGTTTTTGTTCTTCAGCGCAGACTTCATCATCTGCCGGTGGCCCATCGTCCTCGCCGTCAGGAGCTCTTTGGGGGGTTTCCGAAAATTAGGGGACCGTATTTTGGGGTCCTTGTAATAAGGATCCTACTACTTAGGGTACTATATTAGGGTCCCCTAGTTTCTGAAACCCCCATTTCCATCAGGGTTTGGGGTCTGGAACTCTCACCTGCATGGTCCCAAAGCCCGCGCGAACATCAACTTGCCCACAAATACACTGGGGCGCAAGCTTCTTGCGGACGTGAGCCAGGGTGTTGGTGCGCCTCAAGCCAGGTGCGGTTGTGTTGCGAAGGGGGCCTTAAAACCCCCCTATAACCCTAAAGACCCTAAGCAATAGAGCTTGACAAAGCCCCTCCGGTCCCCAAACCCTCAAATCATCAAGCCCCGAAGCCCTAAAGCTCTAAACTCCTAAGCCCCACAGCTTTCAAGCACTCAAGCCCTAAAGAAAGCCTCAGCGCTCAAGCCCCTAAACCCTAAAACCGCTCTCAAGCCTAAACCTCTGCCCGAAACCCTAAAACCCAAGCACCTCAAGTCTAAATCCCAAACCCGTACCCTTAACCCCAAACTCCCTAAACCCTGAAAACTAAACCCGAAACCCTAAACCCCTGCTCCAAACCGCAACCCCTCAACCCCTGCCCTACACCCCCCAAGCCCTAAAGCTCAGTTTGGGGCAAGTCCATCAGCTCTTGCTCGCTTGGGGGCTCATGATCCTGACTGGGCACACCCATCTGCTTCAGTGCTTAGGTTATACTGCTGCACTAATACTGCCATAATATGCAAGAATACTACAAGACTACTAAGCTCTCACTACAACTGACTATAACTTAATAAGTGTAAAAAAGAACAACTGCAGCGATGAGCGAAACCCGCCAAACTCTGGAAGCTCAGGGCTCGAGGGCTTCAGGGTTTCAGGGTTTCGGGGAAAGGGCTTCTGGATTTCAGGGTCTTTACAGTTTAGAGATCAGGCTCTCAAGAGCTTGCGCATGGCGACAACTGCTGCCTAAAGTGATGGGAAAAATATCAAACCGAACTGTGCGATGGTCGCCCCATACAGCCTCCATCTCATGTCCCAAGGCCCGCTTAGTTCGGGGCTCGGGATAGGGCATGGACAGAAGCCACCATCCCCGAACCGTGTCTGCGCACGGTGCCTGTTCTCTGAAGAGCTCCGCGGCTTGCGTGAGCGACAGGCCCTGCAGCGCAGGTGGCATGAGATGGGTAAGCTGACGCAGTTTGGGACTCTTGAAGCCTTTCCGCAAGATTGGCTTGGGCCATGTGGAGAGGTCTTGCAACCATGGGCCCATTCGAGATCTGAACAAGAGCCTTTCCATCCTGTCTCCGTAAGGCTGCCCTTAAGTCGTGTCGCACATGTTGCCCCTGGTCTAGACCCCAAACTTCCCAAACTCCCTACACCCACAAACCCGAAGATCCCACGCTGGCCCGGGCCTGGATGAGAGCCTTCCACAAGAGCTGAGTTCGCTCATTCTCCTTGCGCAACGCCTCGGAGAGCGGGAGCCGAAGCCGCCGTAGACCAGAACGGCGACACCGCGTCGAGGTAGCGTTCAGGGCTTGGGGCTGCACCGGTTTAGGGTGCAGGGTTTTTAGAGTTTTAGGGCTTAGTGCTTCAGGGGCTGGGGGTTAGGGTTTTGGGTGGGCTCCTTTTTGAATTCGTCATGGTCAATGAGTCGCAGACTCATGCACAATCATTCACCGCCCCGGAGAGCTGTGACTGAGAGTGATTACGCAGGAGGCTGTACGGCTCGCTGCCAGCACTCGGCTGGTCAGGATCGAAGGATGAAGCATTCGACGAGCCCGGATCTGTTCTGTCCTACTCTTTCGGAGGAGTCTGCAGCGTCCATCCTTCGAAGCCCGTCGTTAACACCTTGCTGGGTCTACGAATGCGGAAGCCCCTCTGAAGCTACAAGAAAGCCTTGACGTCACCTACGATGCTACGATGAGCACGGGCAAAGGCATCAGGGAGCTATCGGGTGAAACCGCGGATTGGCCATCATCTTTCGACGGCTGGAAGTTACCTCCGGGCGAGCAAACTTCATGGAGCTGCACGGCTCAACGAAACAGGGGTAGTGCAGAAACTGCGAACATGTAGCTTGGAAGCGTCGCATCTACTTGGAGTGTCCTTGCAAGTTACCAGCCAACCTACATTCTGGCACACAAGAACAACCGGCAACGGCAGCAAAGATGCTAGTGGCCACCCTCTGCATCAACACGCATCTCCACAGCAAGGACGGACAAAGAGCGGAGCGAACAGTGCTAGCTTCTGCTACTGCGAGCTATTGAGTGGTTGAACCATATGTTCACCATCACGAATAGTCTGCTCAGCAGCAGTAGCCGCTGTAGCGTTAGCGGTGGCGTACAGTAGTGGAAGTGGCAGCGCTAGTGGTAGAGTTGCTGCTGTCGCTGTTGCTGCCGCTGTTGTTGCCTCGGTAGCAGAAGTACCGTCGTACTTGTAGTGCAAACACCGACAAGAAGCAGAGTACAATAGCACGAACAACATAACAACAGCAAACACAATGACAGCACGATTGTAAGAATTAAAGCACCACCGGGGATGATAAGGCCTACACTACCATCGTACTTTTACTTTGGTCATACCTGTAGCCCAAAGAAACACCCTGAACCCTCAATCCCTTCAACCTTTGAATCTGCAATCCCTGGCTCTGGCCTTCCATCACGACTTGTTGGAGCCTCGCAGGCAGCTGTGCAGACCCTCTCGGCTTGAGGTCTAAAGCCAAACCCTAAACCTTCGAAGCCCTAAAAATTCAACAATCCTGAAAGCCCAATGACAAACGAAACAGAACCCTCATAGGCCCGAAAAAGAAGCCTCATTAGTACCAACCTCAGACTCGCGGAGGCAGGCCCCCTATAACACCCTCTACATTTCCCATTCAAATCAAAAGACCCTCGGCCTCGAAACCCAAAGACCTCCACCCACTCTACCGTCCCCTCCGCGCGGCCCTAACCCGAGGCCCCCAAGCCCGACACCCCGAAACCGGAAGCTTCCCCGCACTGAGCTGCCGGCCGCTGTGGCCACCGCTCAGGTTGGGGTCGGTAGGCCTCAAAACGATTTGGGAATACGGAATACAAGTAATGCAGGAACCTGATTAAGAAGCCCTGGCTCTTTATTAGGATTCTTAATATGGGCCCAAATATATAGGGGTTATAGAGCCAGGGTTTCTTAATCAGGTTACTACATTACCATGGCATTGCTTCAATGGCTGCTGTGATTCATGTCCATGGTGAACCTCTGATTCATGTGGCGCTTATCATGATTCATCATCGCAAGTCATACAATCTCGCTCCGGCAGACAAACCTTGAGCGCCGACTCAAACCCGAAAACGTACCAACCCGGAAAATGTGTAAACCTTACACCCCCCCCGAGCCTCAAAACCCCTAAACCCTAAAACCCTAAAACTCTAAAACCCTAAAACCATAAACCCTAAACCCCTAAACCCTAGACCCCTAAACCCTAAAACCCTAAACCCTAAACCCCCCGGAAGCTTGAGACACCCGGCCTCCCCTTCAGGGTGCTGCTGCCCGCCCCGAGCCCCAGCGTCAGCGACTCCGGCTGCTCGTCGCTGTTCGTACCCCTCAACGGATGGGTTTAATGTAGGGGCCGTAATTTGGGGCTTTAGGGTTTAGGTTTAGGGTGCTGGGATTTAATGTAGGGGCCTTAATTTGGGGGTTTAAGATTTAGGTTTAGGGTTTAGGGGCCTTACTTTGGGGGTTTAGGGTTGAGGTTTAAGGTTTAGGGGCCTTAATTTGGGGGTTCCTTGTTATAATTATAGTATAATATGCCTCCAAAACCTATTCTAAGTATATTAAGGCCCCTATATTAGGTCTCGAGTTCAGGGCGTATACGGCTTAGGGTTTGGGGTTCAGGGTTTATGGCTGAGGATTTTGGGCTTCAGGCTCAGGGCTGTGGCTTTCAGGTCTTGGAGCTCAGGGCTTAAAGCTTTTCGGCTCGAGGCTTGAGGTCTTAGGGTGTAAGGTGGCAGGTTTGGTTTAGGGTTTGGAGATGGCCGAAGAGGATGACCAATTAGGTTTCTTTATGAGCATCTCGACGTAGATGCGAGTTTTCCCGCTGAAGTAGAGCTTTTGGGCTTGGGGTCTGGGATCTGCGGCCCTGCCGTTGGAGTTCGGCATCTCTTCTGTAGCTTTGAAACGGCAAGTTGCATAAATTGACGGAGGAGAGGTGTAGAGGATGCAGGATCGGCGAGCTGCAGCTCAAGATGAAAGAGCTTTCGGGCACAGACAACAGCCGGTAAGATCGGCGCAATAAGTTCTCGACCCCGAAACCGAAGCCCCGAAGCCCGGTGTAACGCTCGGCGGCCTTCGTCGAACATCATCTTCACCTGCCAGTGCAACAGTCTCGCAAGACTGTGCCTTCTCGCGAATCCAGGTTCTCTCAGAATAAACCGTCCTTAAGCAACATAGATGGACAACTGCAGGTGCTACACGGAAGCAAGCCTGCCGCCAACGGATCATGAAAGTTGAGGCCCTCGAAGCCTAGATCCCAAAACGCTGCCGCTCTCTGAGGAAGCTGCTTCGCTGGTAGAGGAACTTCACGCGCTCCATGAAGCCCCTCTCATCGAAGAGGGCCTCTTCCTCACGTGGGTTTGGCGGGACTGTTTCCGCACAAGAAGTTAAGCATAACCCCAACCTGCATCCGATCTGCATGGCGAATCAAGTTGCAAGCAACGCTAAGAAGCCCCTGCCATTGGAACGGCATCCGTTTGATACGGCCTCTTTCGCTCTGTGCATGAGCTTCTGCATGGCAAAAGGGGTTCCTGCGCTCCTGGGTCCCCTGCAGTGTTCTTTTTTCTAAAGGGCCCCTGCCCTCTAAAGACGGAGGAGGCCTCCTTGGGCTTCTCCCGGCCCAGCTGCACGGTGCTGTGCATCTCCTACCGAAACCACACATGCAAGGGTTTAGGGTTTTCGGGTTTTAGGGTTTAGGGGTCTAGGGGTTTAGGGCAGGTTTCCGGAGCCTCTGATGCGTGGGGCTTCTCTAGGGCCCAAAGTTGTTGATCATGCTGACCGTTTCAGGTTTCTTCGTCTGGTGATAGAGGGTTCAGAGTTGAAGGTGACCCGGAAGATTCCGCGTGAGGAGAGTGTGGAAGGCGAGGCAGGCTGAACGAACTCCGGGCGAAAGTACTAGACATTGCCGTGCTCAGCAGGCTCATTCATATTACGGCTGTTGTTCGTATTTTCCTTATGCAGGACTGAAGATGATGCCAGTCTCTGACCCCAAAAACTCCCAACGCAATATGGTGTTTATAACCCGAATATCATGATGACAGAATCTACCCTCAATATACCTAAAGTACACCGCAAAATTCTCAGACATGGGAAGCTCCGCCTGCAGATCTTCCACCCGCTCGATGATCTGCTTGAACATCTCTTCCAGACGCACGTCGCTCTTGTCACCGCGGACGGGAGCGAACTTGACATCTGTGGCGTCCTCGATTCAAGGCATGGGCCCCCACTCTTTGCAGTTGAGGCAGCTTGAAACCGCAGCTTCACAACAGGTAGAAATGACTGAGGCGCGGACTAGCATCGCCTGGCGCTCAACCGGAGGTCAAGCATGCAAGCGCGTGCTTGGCAGATGCCAATGGTCAGTGCAGGAATCACAGAATTTCGCACACCCCCGTCTCTGCTGAAGGCCCGTCATGCATCCAACCCTCCCCGAGAAGGCCTGGCCTTCTTCCGCTGGGGCAGTCTGCAAGAGTTGACTGTGCGAGAGAAGAGCTGCTCGATGGCCATGGAGATCACTCCGACCTCATCGGGTGAATTTAGGACCCTCACTGTACACAGCGGATTCTTAGCCGTGCATGGCAAGGGCTACTAAACTACTGAAATATAACGATTTAAATAGTGCAAGGTGACTGCAGGGGTTGTTACGTGTGGAGGTCTGGGCTTCGAGGGTTCTAGGTTTGAAGGCTTTGGGCTTCACGTCCAGAGCTTCCTCCCACCCTAAACCCTGACATTCTCAACTTCAACTATAAAGAACTAAACACGGAATCCTAAAAAACTGCTCCTAGAAGCCCTAGAAGCTAGACCTCATCAACCTGAGCCCAAAAAATCCGCAACCGCACCCCTGAAACCCGCGAACACGAACTGGAGTTTGAGAAAGCCAGGGGCCCTAAACTAAACCCTGACGCAAAGCCCACTCTAAATCCGAGAAGCCCCCTAAATCCCCAAACCGTCAACGTAACCCCAGACAAACCGGCACTAACCTTTTGAACCCTAAACCCTCAACCCTAAACCCGAAAGCAACCAACCCTTTTGTAGCCCCAACCCTGCCATAAACCCTAAACCCGAAAGTAACTAACCCTTTTGTACCCCCAACCCTGCCCTCAACCCTAAAACCCGAAACCCTGAACCCCCCCCCCCCCNNGGGCTCCGGGGACTGGGATCCTTAAAGGGATCATCTAAAGGGCTTAAGGCTTTTGGGGTTTAGGGTTTTGGGTTTGTTTTTTTTTGGATTAGGGTTTAGGGTTTAGGGTTTAGGGTTCAGGGTTTAGGGTTCAGGGTTTAGGGTTCAGGGTTTAGGGTTTAGGGCTTTAGGTTCAGGCGTGGGGTGCTATCACGGAGGGGTCTGAGAGTGGCTTGGGGCTTTGCAGGTTTTTGGTGGTTGAGGGCTTTAGGGTTTCAGGGTTTATCGGCTTCAGGCGATTGGGTATTTTTGGGCAGTATGGGTTTAGGGCTCTACGTGGCAAAAGGCAGTTACAGTAGGTTTATGCCTGCACAGTCTCGCATCTTCGTCTCCGTCCTGGCTCTCTTGAAGATGCTGCTCCAGCTCCACCTGGCACAAGTGGAAAGGCTTCCCCGGTCGTGCCCTTGAATCTGCAGACACATAGCCTGGCATTTGTGCAGCTGGCTGCTGATGGCCAGGTGCTCATTCTGCCTGCCAGCGCACGGCGAGGTCTGTCTGCAGTATCCCATGTTTGAGGCTGGGGCCTGCGTTTCCAAGCAATGTCGCTGGCAGTCGCTGGATTGCGTAAACATCACGTACTGCCGCCAGCACCCCCGAATAATGCAATGCAGCTCCGCGATCTACAGAGGGAGAGCGCCACCAACTGCTGCTGCAAGCACAGCACACCAAGACCAGAATACCTTTGCCAAACCTTTCCCGCAAACTCTTTGAGCTGAGCTGCAGCTTTGTCTGAACTCGCGCGCATTCATCGCGGACGCGGTCCAACCGCATGGAGAGGTCGTCATTGCCTTGGGTAAGCTCCTCTCGCGAAGGGTGGGCTCTAAGCTCCAGGTCGCTTCATGCAACCGGATCTCAAGCGGAATGCAGAAAGTGGGATTCATTGTAGAACTAAGGGCGTTGAGTGTCAGGTCCCGGATTTTCTGAACCGCCGCTCCTGGCTGCCGCCCTCCAAGGTCGCGTAGCGATTCATCAGGACCTGGCCGATACCCCGAGAAGCGGCCGATGCTCGCGCCACGGAGGTAGAGCGGATGGCTTCTCTGCTGCCGCACATGTATGATGATGTGATATAACATAACATGCTACAACAAGAATATCATATGATACCACATTTATAATATCATGTAGTGTCATACACTGTACATTATTAGCATATACTTTTGTATCAAGTAACACAATATAGTGCAATGCAGGATTAGGTAAATTGATTCAATATCATATCATACAAAGGAAGATAAGATGATAAGAGTACAGTATGACATGTGTGTTATTGCACCATATAGCAGCACATGGTACAGGCGGCATGATGTTGAACATCGTGTGCCACTCGCAGCTCACAACTACGTAGACGGGCATTCGTGCATGGCCCTGTAAGTCGGTCGGGTGGGTCGGTCGGTCAGTCAGGAGCCGAGAAGTATGTGAAAAAGGCAAGTACATACGTACACACGTACGTAAGTTCGTACGCATGTACGTACCGTACGTACGTGCGTAGGTATTTATGACTGTACGTATGTATGCATGTATGTGTAGGTAGGTAGGTAGGTAGGTAGGTAGGTAGGTAGGTAGGTAGGTAGGCAGGCAGGCAGGCAGGCAGGCAGGCAGGCAGGCAGGCAGGCAGGTAGGTAGGGGTAGAAAGACTGATTTTGTGGACGTCGTACGTGCGAACACACGTGCATAAGTACAAGTAGTCCTGTGCTTTTGTACACATACAGATACAAAGGCGCTGTTCTGCTGCCTTCGGAGAACGACCCATCCTCTCACTTGGTCGGCCTCGATGTCATCCCCAAACTCTTCCTGGCTTTCGTGGATCACATGCTCAAGGAAGTTCTTGTATTGCGCCTGAGCAGCGGCGACTCACACAGCAGCCTTAACGAGTTCTTGGTAGTAGCTATCTTGCTACAGAAGAACAGAACTACGGCGACCCCTCTTCTCGTCATTTAAACCACCATGATTGAGTCGCAAACTCGGAAAGGGAACCTCAACCTTCTATGTAACAACAAAAATGGAAAAAACTTCCGAGGTCACCTTAGCACTGCCCCACCCACCAGAAGCCATACATAAGTACCCCGTAGTAACCTATTCCTGCCAATATTAACTCGTGTAACAGTCACCCTTCTGCTATCGTCGCCCGGCCCTTCATAGCACCCCTGTGATTGCAAGAACCCCCCCTTTTTGCTCTCTAGGCGCCATCTTCCCGATCTTCGCCTGCTCTGTGTCGCGCTGCTGCTCCTGAACAGGGGTCGTGAGACTGGGCTTGCCATGGAGCGGATAGGTTTGGGGTTTAGGATCCAATATGAGTGCAGCATACTCTTGCTACTTCAGGCTCCCAATCCCACTGACAGAAGTCGGAAGGTGCCCAGTCGGCAGAGAATCACCCGAGACGAACAATGCTGGTCCACCCCCGTCGACAGTTCCACCAAACCCCCCCCCCCTCTTTTTCGCCTCAACGCCTAAATCCTTAACTCCGAAGCTTACGCCCCAAAGATCACCCTAGCCCCAGCTAACCAACTTTCAAACCCTACAGCACAAAACCTCTAAGATCCCGAAGCCCCACCCCCTTACCCAGCCTTCTCTTGGAGCTCCTTCTCCAGAGCCCGGATCTCTCCGTCCAGGCGCCGACTCTGGGCCTCCGAACTGAAGTCGCAGAATGAGGGCTCATTATGCGCTTGTTGAAGGTGTTTAGGGCTTAGGGTTTAGGGAGGTGTTTCTGCCAGGCTGAGCACAGGAAGCATGAGGGCTTCGCATGGTGCTGAAAGGGTGCTGTAAGGCTGTCCAAAGTTCTGGATTCAAGTTCCCAGAAGGAATGCAGATCGTGCACGAGACATCCCTGCCATGGTCCCTTAAGTTAAGTTTTCTATCAGCCGCTGTGTAGAGCCCTATGAATCAAGCATGGAACTGGAACCCTTGCAACAATGATCATCAAACACCCACGCAGATCCATTATGTAGTATAAAGCCCTTAAAGCAGCTTACAGTAACTCTACAATAACCCTAAACCCTAAACCCCTAAACCCTAAACCCTAAAATAAACCTTCAAACACACCGAGGTGCTGCAAGCTTCACCAAAAACTCCGGCCTGCTCGTCGAGCGCCTTTCGCTCGCCTTGTGAGAGGTTTCGGGCTTTAAAGGGTTAAGGGTTTAGGGCTCTTTGGGTTTAGGGGTTTAGGGTTTAGGGTGTCTGGCTTTGAAGGGTTTAGGGTTTAGGGCTCTTTGAAGGATGTCTCGAAGGGTCTGCAGAAAGGTTTCTGCCAGGCTTCCAGAACGGTTCTTTAAGTCTTTTAGGGCGTTTCTATCCGTTCTGATTCTACATCGGTTTCTTTAGAGTTTCTTTAAGGGTTCGTTAAGTCGCAGATACATGATCTTGAAGGGTGTTGCAAGGGTTCTTGAAGGGCTTCATCAGGGTTTGCAGGCTTGGGGACGGCCCCGACGACGGTCGCAGTGAGCATTTGTGCTCGCATGTCTGGGCAGAAGTTGCAGCTCTAAAGGATTTCTACCCGGCTCGAAGAGGTACCGCATCGGACTACAATGTAATGCTGCTATTCAATTCCTGGTTCTACGACCGCTACTAAAAAGGATAACAACTGGGACCATCACCGGCAGAAAACTTTCGAGAGGGGATCTGTATCAATCCTCAGGCCCCAGCTCTTTTCGATCTGTGCCTCGAGATCCTGCAAGGACTTCCTCAGCGGCCGGCCATCTCTTATCACGCTCTGTGCAGGGCGTCCTTTACGGGCCTGTGTCTTGCACACAGCTTTCGATGGCAACTCCAAGAAGGAAGGTAGGATCCGGATTCGGGGCGCTTTGTTCTTGAAGTGGCAACGGGGCTTCAATGCTTCCGTCCAGGGAAAGGACGCCCAGTCACTTGGGTAGTTGAGCCACGCATCTGGTTATCCAAGACGTGGCGTCTCAGGTCCTCCTGCTTCTTCATGAACATCATCTCCTTCTCCTGCGATTCGGATTTCACCGAAAGGCTCCAAAGTCCCTTGATGAAGGAACAAAGGTAAAACGGGATGCTTTAACAAGGAACCCTTACAAAAGCGCATAAACAGCAAGTTAAATGGATGCGCCACGACCCGGAGGCGTGCCTTGCAGAAGGCCAGCCGCGTCTCAACGCTTTTCCGCGTGGCCTCGACGCAGTTCGACGCGAAGGGTGACTCCAGAGCCCTATAATACACTCATTTAACTCGCGGGCCTAAAACATCCGAACACCATTGGGGCTACGGTGCGGGAATTCCGATATGCTGTCAGGAACACTGCGTCGTTATGAACGTGAGATGAGCCTCGCGGCCATCACCAGGAGTATCACCATTATCAGCAGCAGCAGTTGCAAAAGAACACCATGCCGATCATCTAGATGACGAAACGATAGTGACGACAGCGATGATGATTAGAATGGTGAAAACGGTGATGATGACGATGATGATGACGATGATCATGATGATGGTGGTGAGGATGATGGTGATGATGATGATGGTGATGATGATGATGATGATGATGATGGCGACGATGATGATGACGATGACGTGATATGCCGTGATGACGAAGATAACCTGCTGATTGTGAGGGCAACGGCGATGATGATGATGATGATGAGGAGGAGGAGGAGGATGACGACGATGATGACGATGACGATGACGATGATGATGATGATCAAGATGAAGAGGAAGATTACGATGAAGACGATGGTGAAGAAGAAGATTATGAATAAGAAGACTGATGCAGTAGTGGCGAGGAAGAGCAGGAGGAGGAGGAGGAGGAGCAGGAGGGTGTGTTGATGCTGATGACGATGGGGATGATGGCGATGGTAGGTAGTGCTGGTGATTGTGATAATGGCCGTAGTAAACGCTTGCAACGATGCAAGACGCTCTGGCCTTCAGCGCGAGTTGCGCCTCACGGTCCTCGCTCAGGTGTTCTTGTGGTTGCGGGTTTTCCGACTTGCGCGTCGGATCCGGATGGGGGTCTGGGATTCTGACTAGAGAAATTCGGGTTAGACTTTGTCTGGATTCGACCGGAACGCGCCGCCTGTTCAACCCAAGCCGGAAATCAAAGCTTGCTCCAACAGCAAAACCTGCCGTTTGCGCGCCTCGCTTTCGACCCTCAGGAGCTGAGTGGACTGGTTCTCCTGCAGACTCGCAGCCAGGGAGTGGATGCATCGTGCGAGACCTGAGACCACGAAGCGGCCAGCCTCGTGCAGCGCGGAGAGAATGCCGCGCAATTGCGCAATCTTCTGGTCCTCAGCACAAAGCTTCGGTAGGGATGTAAGCTACGAGAGCTCCTCTGAAAGAGAAATCTTGAAACCTCCGTCTCGTCCAAGCTGCATCTACAGGCTGCCACTCGTCATTGACGTCGATCTTGCAGTGCTTGTCCAGGAGTTTTTTCGCCTGGCAAGGGCAATCATTCTTCGTCGCAACACTCACTGGATCCGACTGCTTGGAGTCTCTTGCTCCGAAGCGTCAGGCCCGAGTAGGACACGAAAGGGTCCAGTCGGGTTGTAAGCACTTCGGCCCGCGTCGGTCTCGTGCCGTTTTCACTTCAGCTGCAGGCAAGTGGCAGATGCCAGGGCTGGTAGACGCGGCACGTGTGATTATTCATTCCGGTGACAGGCAGGCTCCATTGCCAATCAACTTCTTCTTAAGCTTGTCGCGAGCTGGGACGAGCAATGACGAGCATCAGGAGGAGCGGGGACAGTGATGGTTCAGCGAACGACCATGCTGCATGAGTAGTAACCAGCAATCAGAGGCTTTGGTTTCTGAACCTGAGGCCACGGCGTGTCTCTGAAACTCCGTCTTCGGCTTTCCATCCCCGGGCAGCGCGAGCGCATGGGAGGCGGAGGGCATGGCCCAAGGACTCAGAAGGCCTGGAGATATCCTGAAGCTTCGAACTCTCTCCGACGGGAGCAGCCCAAGCTGAAGTTTGCATCTTTGAGGTAAGGACTCGGGCTGCCCCAGTTTCATGTCGGTGCTGCTGTCCATGCTGCAAAGCTTCTCGCATCTGAAGAAGACGTGGCTTTGAGCACTCGCGAACACACGCGCAAGTGCTGCAGGCATCCGAGGAAGGAAATCATGGTCAAAATCCTGAACAGTCCATGCCACTAAGGCCTTGTAAATCACAACCTCTGCTGCATGTGGAACGTCCTCCATTAAGCGACAGATCACTGCACAACCAGAGCCTGCTCTGGCTCTCTCAACCTCTAACTCCAACCCCTGCTTCGACTGTGATCCATGCGTCTCGACGCTTATTATAAGGTGGCCTGAATATTTCAGAGTAGCAGTACTCCATACGCTCCCTTTAAACAAAGACTTCCAATGCCAGACCAGAATATCTCCTCGCTGAGACCCGCACCTGCCGCTGCTCGTCGGTGAGGCCGTCGTCCGGCTCGTCCTCCGAAGGCGCCTTCGGAATCTTGAATTCGGGAATTTTGGGGTTGGGCGGGGGCTGAGTCTACATGTGTCAGGAATGGCTGGGGACTGCCGTGATCGTGCCGGGCACGGCCCGCACTCATCGTGCCGGGGTTGTGCCCAGAATGGGGGGCCAAGTCGGGATCTTAGTTGGGAACATCCCAATCCCAAAAACTTCCTCATACCCAAACCCTAAACCGCGGCCACGTTCATCCCGACTCACCCGGGTAAGGCTTTAGAAATTGGGGGTTGGGCTCAACGCAGCCGTAACCAACTCAAACACGCCAGAAACCTGACGCCTCCCCAACTCAAAATCTGAACCCAGAAGAAGAGCCTGGGCCGCCGTTGCCCAATCTGGCCCTCAAAACCTCAAAAGCCCGAAACCATCGAAGGTTCAGGCCCCAAACCACGAACATCCTCAGCCCTCAGCCCAGGCACTCAGGATCCAGAAACACTGAAACCTGAACCATCCCCTGGCCATGAGACTCCTGGTACAACCAAATCCGGGCCCCAAGCCCAAAAAGCACCGAAATCAACAGAGGAACCCTAGGAAGCCCAGGATCCCGAATCTCAAAACCTGAGGCGCTCGATCCAAGGAGGGCCTCCGGAAGCGCCACTTCCTCGAACCTTGCGCACAGGGTTGTGAGAGACTGCAGAGTTTGGGGCTCGAGGGCTCTGGGGTTTTGGGGCGCTTTTGAATCGTTTAAAGGGCTTGCCTTCGGGACTAGGGCCGAGTCCCTGGAGCCTTTAAGGGTTCCGTCGTACTGGCATCTGAACCCGGAAGCCATATCCTTACTTAGACCTCGAACCTTGCCATCCCTAAAACGTTCAGGAACCGTAAGCTGCTGGACTGGAGTTTAATTTCGGTATGCCTCTGTGTATGTTCAGGCCTACAAGGTGCATCTTGCGGAGCATATCATCGGTCAGATTGCCACCATCAGGCCGTCAGGCATGAGGGCTTTGCACTCCAAGGGAGGGTCAGGCGGACGCGTCTGCATGTGGGCATCACACCCTCCCTGTATCCGGCCCAGAGTGCAGAACCGTATCAAGAAAATGAGCAACAGAGCCCGGCTTCCTTTCAGCACCGAAAACCTGCAAACCTTTGATCCGTCGTGAAAGAGAGATGCCTCCTCGGCGCAGTTCCACCGCAGCTAGCACAGACGAAGTCTGGAAGTTGAAAGGGGCACATCCTCAGCGCTGCTGGGGACTTACGGTGTGGGTTAGGGGCTTCAGTTTCAGGGTTTAGGTTCTCGGCACTACGGGTGAGGGCTGCGTGCTTGCTCCGAATCCCAGGGTTTGGGCTGCACTTCTGCTTCTTTGGAGGGATCATTGCAGGCTTCCGGCCTCGTCTGCCCACACTGCACGCACACCTCATCTTCGGGGTCTTGGTGGGCAAGCTTCGGGGAGGTACTGAGCTCAACTTCACGAGGTCGCAAGATGTCGACGCGAGTGCCAGAGAATGCCTGCCCTGAGACGCGAGCATTTTCGTGTAGCATATCGGTGCGGCACTCGAAACCTGCGTCACCACCTCGGTGCAAGGGACGACCAAGGCGACTTTGATTAGCTTACGGGCAAGACGTGATCCAAATATCTCAAGCAGGGTACATCTTGAAACAAAGACCCAGAACAGGGACTCATGCATGCAGATGCACACGTTCACACTAGACTCGAAAGCAGGCCCTACAGCTGAGCCGGCGGCAGACGAAGTTCGCGCTGAGATCGAAGGGCAACTCTCCTCATTCACATGACTTCCAGCACAAAAACACTCCTTGGACCTGAAGGAAAAAACAAAGACCTCAAAGTACCTCAAAGGATCAAAGCAACAACGTTGAGATCCCCCACCACTGGAACAAGGAGAGAAGTGCACATCAGTCTTGCAGAGAGATAGCGCAAGGGGGCTTTGGCAGCTTCTCGAATTTCTTTTGCGCAGTCCAAGAACTACTCTGTGGAGAGTATGGGGCAGGTGGTCTGTCTGGAACTTGGGGCCCGAGGTCGATCTCTTCTTTGACCCCTCAGCTTAAGCCCAGCACGTTCTGCGCCGCAGTCGGCGCAGATGTTGACGAACATCTCGTGCTCGCCCTGCAGATCTGCAGACGAACTCTTGGCTCTAGCTTGCCACGGACTTCCATGCTTGAAGGGATACAAGTGGGGGTTTCCGAAAATAGGGGACCCTAATATAGTACCCTAAATAATAGGATCCTTATTCTCAGGAGCCCAAAATAAGGTACCCCCTATTTTCGGAAACTCCCAAGTAAACCCCGACGCGGGTCACACTGCAAGCGATCCGCAATTCCGGAGGCCTACGTCAAATCTCCTCTGAAGAAGCCAGTCTGTGGCTCTCAGAGCCATGTGTGTCTGTAGGGGGCTTAGCAGAGAGCAAGTATGTCTCAGCTCGAGCAACAAGAGAGCCGGATCCATCCCCCTCCCTGGCCTCGAAGTTGCCAACCCGGGCATCGCAGTCGAGACCTACATCGCGACCTCATCATCCGAGCTTCAGACCCGAAAAAGGGGCTTGCCAGGTCTTGCAGGGCTCTGTCTGAAGAGGGCACCCCTATGTCTATCGCGGGCGAGCTGCAGACGAAGCCCTCCCCAAGATCGAAGGGCAGGTAGCGAGTCTGCTGGCACCAGGTGCAAACCTCAGAGTCTCAGAGCTCCGGCTCTCTCCATCCCTGTGGCAACCCACTAGGGAGAAAGGGACTTCAGTAAGAGAGGGATGCACAAGACCAGCTGGAACCCAACCGAGGCAGCTACGTTGGCACAGAGGTCGTCCTCTCCTGCACGCCCAACGTGCGGTCCCATGACAACACAACCGAACGGGGGGGTTCAGAAGTTAGGAAGCTGCACTAGCGTCCGGCATTTTTGGCTCAGGGCTTCGGATCTTTTCTGAGGGCCTTTGTGGTGTCTGCAGCACTGTCCTCCAGTGCTTGGGCTTCTGCTTAGGGTTTACCTTCATGCGGCTCCAGTGTATCCCAGAAAAAGACTAATCAAGCTGGAGGTTCCTTGACTGGCAACAGTCTACCGTACTCTGCCCTATGACTTCTACACTCATCCCCGCAGCCCTTGTTCTAGACACTTACAAGACTCTCGAAGGCACACATCTTTTCGAAGTTAAGAGAGAATCCAGGAAATTATTTTCGAAGAGCAACACCCTCCGCTCTAAGAAACAGGGAACGTCGGACCATACCACTGCGGAGGCAGCGTGAAAAGCAAAACACAGAGAAGAGCTTCTGGGCTTCTTGGGATGAGCCGGGTTGTTGATTGCCATGTCAACAACTCTATTTCGCCCTTAAGCCTTCCAAAGATGACTCGCAAGACCCAAAGATGTACGTGTGGCCGTCCTCCAGAGTCACTCTCTGAGTCCTGCCCAGGGACAGCAGCAGGGACGCATAGATCAGCCGGAAAAGCCAAAGCACAAGCGCTACCAGCGTCACCCTGTTTCTGAGCACGGCACCCGGGTGCACTCGAAGCCAGCATCTTCACACCTCCGCGTCGAAATGTGCATGCGACGCCGGTTCTTTCCTCCTTTGCAGTGCCTAACTGAGGTCCTCACACGAAATTCTCCCGGAGATCGAACCTGAGACTCCAACATGGAATGCCCGCCAAGTGCCGTCCAACGGCTGCTACAAGCTCCCGGCGGGAGGATGCGAGTCTCTCCGCCTCAGGTGTTGTCATGCATCCGCCAGCAAGATCTTCAGCATTCAGGGATCCTACTGCCCTTCCACCTCAGGCTGGCAAGATCTTCAACAACGGTTTGTGGCATCATGGACCCTACACCCTAAATCCTAAGGATCGAGCCGAAAACGAAGAGATTCCGGGAGCCCTACACCAAGCGCAGACGTTGGCGAAGTCGCCGGGGCCACACCTGGCAAGCATATTGCTAAGATACTGCCTACAAGAGGCCCTCCAGGAAATGGAATAGGGTTCCTCAAAGGGCTGTATAGTGGATCCATGGTGAGGTCTGTCAAGATTTTACAGGGGCCTTAGTAAGTGGAAGAGGGTTCCTTTGACAGTTCCGTTCAAAAAGGGTCTGTAAAGGCCACTGAAAGGGTTACTGCAAGGGTCTAGTATCGGGGCTGAATAATTGGAATAGGTTGTTGGGGTTTTACTACCTGTAGTTACTCTGCTTCAGAGCCAGGCCTCACCCGAAGCCGAAGCCCTAATTTCAAGGAAAGACTTGCTCTCTCTTTGGGCTGCTGCCGCCAGAGCAGCTCAGGTCCCGGCCGCGGCGGCGGCTGAGCTACCGGCTCCAAAAGGCCTGACCTTTGCAGCAGTTTGCTTTGGGAGGAGGGGGGGGACAGGTGGGGTCGAGGGTTTGGGGTGTTGGGATGTTGGAGTTTTCCGGTTCTCAACTTGCATTTTGTTTCAGAGACCTCAAGGAACCGTAAGATAGAACAACTCCGAAAAGCTGTGTTGCTACGTTCCACGAGGACACTCCACTGATGCTTGCGAAAGGAGAGTGTCGGACGCACTGCGGTACACCAGGCTGCAGTATACACCATAAACTTTGCCATACACTGCTTAGGGTATAGGGCCGTATAGGGTTTAGGGCTTCATGTTTAGCACTCAGTATAGTGTCATTCAGGTTGTGATTCTGGTGGTGACGAATACGACTCGGCCGATGTACATGTCATCAGCTCTGCTGCTCACATATCGTGAAGATACGTGGACCCGAATGCAGCACCTTAAACAGTAGGATCTTTACTACAAGAGCCTCTAAGTCAGGCCCTTCATCTCAATACCAGAAAACCCAAGGACAAAAAAAAAACAGAGCTCCACCAACATGTGGCCAAAAAACCGGCGGCTAGTTACAGATCCAGGACCGGGGTCTCTGTGCACGGCTCTCAAAAAAAGGAACGGCTTGGAGCTAGGGCTTGCCGCTTGCTGCAGGTCTGACGGAGTTTAGGATTTAGGGTTTGGGATCTAGGCCTTGGGGTTTGGGGATTCATCAGATAAGTCCCTGGCCAGTCTGGTGTCCCAGGCTCCTCCGACAGGAGATCGCCGGAGAGCTGAGAGGTTTCCGGTGACTCTTGAGGCGAGGGATCTTTCGAGTTTGGGCTCCGGGGTGTGACGAACACCCTCTCGAGCTTTGGGGCTTCGGTGTCCGGAATTTCCGTCAGAATTAACATTGAAGCAGATTGTACGAAGAATGGCAGCAGCAAGGTCGTAACAGTACCCATTGGGACTGTTTCTGTAATGACGGTGACAGTAGAAATACGAGTACCAAGATATGAACAAAGCCGCAGAGCTAACGAGCCCTTCTCCCAGCGCACATCCAAGATCTAACCGCCCGTATAGAACCCCAAGTTTCGAGAAACACTCCTTACAAGATCCCTATAGATGTTCTCATAACTCGGAGAAACCCTTGAGGAACCTTTCGAGGAAACCCTGAATCACTAGAAAAACTTATGTTGGTAGTCCTTATACTCATCCCATCTAGAACTTACTTTAGAGTTATAGTTGTGGTAATCCTTATTTGGCACAAAACTAGTCCCTATAGCAACCCTATGTAGTGGTTCTCTACATTAGGGTCCCTTTGGTGGGCCCAAAATACCACAGCACCCTTACAAAAATGGCCCTCAAAGCGACCCTCATTTAGAGAACTACCCAGATGGTAACCCGCTCGTAGTCCCCACTCCTCGAGGTTTAGGTCGCCCAGCAGTGCCCTCAGCTCCGCTCCGCTGAGGCGGTGGAGGAGGCAGGCCGCCTTCGATTGCTGGGAGTATAAGTGGATACTATAAGGTAAGGGAGTAGTATAGGGTATGAGATAAGGGCTACCATAACGGAGTACCATAAGGGCAAGTATAAGGGAGTACTATGAGGGTTACCATAAGGGAGAACCAAAACGGTTGCCAAGGGATACTATGTTTTTCAAGGACCACCAAGTACAGGGTTGGGGAGGGTACTATAATTGCTACCATTTCACAGAACCCAAGACCCCAAACAATAACATGGGAGTGGGTTGTCGGTCTTGCGTTGAAGCTTTAGGATTTGGGGGTTGCGGGCGTACGTAGTGCAGAGACGCGATTGAAAAGGTGGATCTCAGTAGGTCGGAGACCTAGCCCGTTGGGCTTCTTGATCTTCTTGCGATACAGTGTCATATGTCATAGTGAGCATATTATGATAAATTGTTGGTGTAGCAGAACCAATATATAAACTGCAACATACCCCTCTATCTTTGGGTTCATGATCGGAGTTGTCGGTGTCCTTCCAGGTTTCAACTTTCGCTGTGTTTTCCCCTGTACACGAGCCCCTCCACAGTTCAGTGCTAGAACCTATTGCATGCGAGTCCGGAATCATTCTTGCATAAACCGACAACCCTAAACCCTAAACTCTAAACCCCAAGGAATCGAGCGAAGGGTGCAGTGCAAGCTAGGCCCCTTGGGCACTGGAACCTAAAGTCTCCCTGGAACCTAAGGTCTCCACACCTGAAAACCCTACCAAAAACCCTCATCCTCAGAACGCCCCTTAGAATCCTGATGGGCATTGAAAGTCGCAACATGGCCCCCAAGCTTCTCCTTTCTTGTGTCTCCTAACAAATCTGCAGTTTACCTCTGGGACTCTGTGGGTTACTACAATGCCCCAAAGACGTTAAGAGCTACCCCTAAACCCTAAAGCCTAAAAACCCTAAACCCTAAACCCTCTACTGGGAAGCCTCCGGAACTTCCGGATCCCCGCCTCCGAAGTCGCCTCTTCGCCGAGCAGGGAGCACAGCTTCCAGGAGAGTTCCGTGGAGCTGTCCTGGACCACACGGTTAAGGTTTAGGGTTTAGGGTTTAGGGTTTAGGAGTCCTGGAACGGATAGAGCCTTTTGGAAGAGAAGTTGAGGGCTCGGGGGCTTGGTGAGTTTAGTGTGGTCTAGAGTTGAAGAAGAAATGGGTAAGGGTAGATGAACGCAATATACAGCAATAGCAGCGAGAGTATCAAAAACCTAGTCGTTCGAATAGCAAGAGTATGAATGCAATAGCAGTAGAAGCAGTAGTACTGCTAGTATAGCAGCAGCAGAAGGAGGGGAGCAGGAGGAGGAGGAGGAGGAGGAGCAGTAGTAGCAGCAGTAGCAGTAGCAGCAGCAGCAGCCGCAGTAAGAGTAGCAGAGGCACATGAGCATGAGATCGAAGAAGCCACAGGCACCAACGGTGTATTCGTCACGGTGGCCGACCTGTGGCTCTGTTTAACAAACTTGCCTCCTCTCGTCCAACAGCGATAAGAATGTCCCAAGCAAGAGATCCCAAGGCAAAGCGGGTCAGTGACGGCTCCTCTCTGGGCCGGGCCACACAGGCCATGGCTCTTGCACCAGGACGGAATCGGAACTGCTTTTGGGGTTTCTGTAGTTTGGCTGGTAGGGTGTGCTGGGCTCAGTCTTTGGCTGGAGGCTCAAGCCGGCTGGAAAAGGTGTACGGTCTGTTCCACCACCGGCTGTGTAAACACATCATCCCTGAGGGTTCAAGAGTTTCGGCTTCAGGTTTCAATGAGTCGAAAGTAGCGCGGAAGCTATTCCCAAAACACTTACAGCCAAGACTGGCGCAGGCAGAGCAGCCTGATTTTCGCATCTGGCTGCACAACATATGCGACCCTAACTCATCGAAGTGGCAGCGTTGAAACCCGCCTAAACCCTGAACCAGGCAGTTGTAAGAGCTGTTTTGCTGCACAAACTCCGAATCAGCCAGAAGCGCCGCCACGGATCGCGAGATGGCAGCCATCACCTCAGGATCTTGTAGGTGTCATGCCGTAGTAGGTAGCAGCAGCAGCAGCGAGGAGTAGCAGCAGGAAGTGGCAGCAGAGCAGCAGTAGTAGCAGCAGCATTAGCAGCAGTGTCAGTAGCGGCAGTGTCATGCCCGTGTCGCTCTGAATCTCAGCACTCGACGCCCTTGGCCAACAGATCGGAGTGATTTTTCATCTTCAGAGCCACGTCGTCCAAATCCTGAAGACATGGTGTGGTTGCTAAAGTGGTTAGGGTCTTTTTGGAACGTAAACCCTAAGCCCGTGTTAGTGTAATACATGGAGAGAAAAGTGCTGCGTTGTCAGAGGACATATTAGGGCCCGCGAATCTAATGCAATCAGTCAAGTCGCTGCCACCGAAATCTGATGCAGCAAGTCAGGGATAGAGTTGCATCTGCCTGCCAGCAGCATCGGGGTCTATCTAGTATAGAGGGTTCACGGTTCAGGGTTTAAAGCTCATACTGAGAATTCGGAGTCAAAGATACAAGGTTTGGTGAGACGGTGAGACTTCCCCCACCACGACTGATAACAACAGCAGCATGCAACCCTTAGACTGATGCCGCGGAAAGGACAACATCGAAGAGCCCGCGCCTATATGCGGAAAATGAGCGTAGTCCGAGTAGAAGTACCTGGCGGACGCTGACCCTGCCATCCTAATTGGCTACTTGACGGGCATCAACCCGAAACCCTAAAAGTGCATTTCAGAGTCTTCTTCCGTCCTGCTCTTCGGCTCTGCCCCAATGTGAGCCCCCCCGATGACTGCACATGTCGGCGAAAGCAGCGGAAACGCCGTAGAAGAACTGAATGATCACTACGGACCAATAAGGCCGCATACCCCGACGCAGAAATCACCCGGACTGACCAGTGATGAAGAGTTCGTGGGCTCTCCGACTCCGCATTGAAGCTCGTCGGATAGATACCTCGGCATCACATGGCATCATCCTCAATCCAAGCCCTGCCTTTCCCAATCAATATACTACAGCAGTGTATCTTGACCTACACTCTGGTGGTAAACCCTAAACCCTAAACCCTAAACCCTAGACCGTGCAGTATGGCATCTATCTTCGAAAGGCTGATTCCCCACGGATTCTTTTGGAGCCTCACGCTGTGTCGGTCGACACCTTGTGCCCGGCTCTCGTGGCCGCGGCATGCACGGCGCGGAACCGCGTCACTCCGCCTGCAGCGGGTGGGGTTTAGGATTTAGGAGGCTGTTGGGTTTAGGGTTTAGGGGTTTAGGGGTTTGGGGTTTAGGGTTTAGTGCGTAA